GGAAAGCCGGAAACGATTTCTGGAGTTTCTTACAGAACAATGATTGAAAGCTTTTTGCGCCCAATGGTGGAGCAGAATCCCTTTTTATGGGGATATTTAAAAGACAAAGTGTATGTAATTAAACCAGAGACTATTACATGGATAAAACAGAATATCCGAGACAAAATACTGAGCCTCAAACCAGAAACATTACGTGGTGTAATGGAAAATGTACACCACATGTATGGCTGCATTTTTCTCAATACAGCCAATCTCTGAATTGAGAAAAATGGTGGGCATTTGTTTGATGTCATATTTCATACATAATTTCCATAAAATACATTTAATGTATTGAAAAATTAATCAAAATAAATTATTATTACAAGAGTTATTGTGTTTAACATTAGTAGATGTTATTTGGCCCACCCTATATAAAGATTTTAATGAGTCCAACTAACACAGTTTCATGTGTTCAACTAATAATTAATAATAACAGAAATAAAGAGCAGTGTTTATTGCTTTTAAATCGCTTAATTTACTAGTCAATAACACATTAAATTTCGAAGAAGAATTAAATACCTTATGCTTCGCCAAATGGCAACACATTAATGCATGAAAAATAAACATTTTATTTCAGGCAACACTTCTTTTAAACTGCAAAGTTTCTTGATTAAATTTCAAATACAAATATCTTATTCTTTGCCGAGTGGCAACACACTGCTTTCAAATCTCTGAATTTGTTAATCAAAATTCATTAAAATCAAACAAAACATAAAATAAATAAATAAATTCAAAATTTAAGCTTCAAGATGGACAAGTTCAGGTGAAGATTAATGTGTTCAAAATTTGGTGGCTCTAAGATGGCAATGTTTTTTCATAATACAATGAACATACACATATATGTGAAGATGATTCATTATTTAATAGAGATGTAAGAGCATTATACTTCAGATATTTAATGATTTTTCTGCTTTACAAATATCCTTAAATTGTATGTATATGTTTTAATAACTTTCACAATGATCTCATATCATCAAAATTTTTATGATTTGGTAAAGGGTTACAAATCATGACCATGATTAAATTACTTAAATTTCACAAATTTAATTTTTTCCCCTTTAGTCTTGTTCAGAATTGTACAACGTGATCATAAACTTAACAGAAACCAGATCAAAGGTTTTTAATATTGCATATATCTTTTCTGTAGTATTTAATATTTAACAATCAACCATTTTTCAACAATGCTGCCAAACTAAGCAATTAATCACAAATAATGGATAACAATGACATCATAACACACTCATAAGAACTTCACTCAGGTTTAATGTTATCCAATTTCAGTGAGTCAGGTTAGGTTTTATAAGTTAGTTGTTATTGCTTTGTTTTGCTCTTGCATTTTCGGGGGGTGGGGATAAAATGTAAGATTTGCCTTTTACAGAACAGCAAGCAATGGAGTATTTTCAAAGGTATGGAAATGGTTACACTAATTTGCATGCTTAAAACAAAGACACCCAAGTGTTCACCCAAATGGCACAATAAAAGATATTGTGGAACAGCGCAACACCACCCAGATCCGTACTTAAGTGAATTAATGTGATGCTGAGTTTGTAACGAAAGGACATTTATGCTATTGTTTCGTACGAGTTTCTGATGGTCAGAATTACTGGTACTCATTTTAATGATTTGATTAGTCAGATAATCTCAGAAGTTTGAGCTTGTAGTAATTAAGTTTTTATATGCCATATTTTTTAGTTCTATTTGTTGATTATCTAGTTAACACAAGAAATAAATAAGCCATGTATATATCTTTTTTTTTTAACCCATTTGTATGTGTTCTCAAAATAAACATGTAATTTGATTTAGTTTGGAAATATTTTTTTAGTATCTCTTCTGTATACTTTTGAGAGTGTATTCTATAAATTTTATATGGAATTTTGATTACACCTAAAGTTCAATATTTATTCCTCCACCATTTACATACATTACCAGGCCTTTTTTCCCCCCTTTCCTTTTTTGTGTATGTAAGCCCGTTTTCCCAATTTTTTAAATATTTTTTGGGGTTACGGTTTATGTTAAGATTTAAATATTTCATGGTTTTTGCTTATTATTTACTCATTATTACTCATGTACCGCTTAGAGGCTTTGTTTTGTTCATGTAAAATATACACACACACACACTTAGAACTTTAACAAATCACTTATCACTAAATTTATAAGAAACTTTTTTAATACAACAAAGAGGCAGTTTGTTTAATTTTTCCTTTTATATTTTAATATATATATATAATTCCGTTTTGTTTGCTTTAGGAGGATGGAATAATTTAATGATCTTTTGTAATTTAATAAAAGCCATAACCGCACACCTAAAAAACAATTGAAACATAGCAGTTTCTAAATATAATGCTTGGGAGGGGGTAAGAATATGGTAATCAGTTAGTTGAAAAATCTGTCACAGAAATATATTAAGATCTCTTCATGACCTAGCAGCATCTACCTATACTACAGACAAAAATAATTTTTCTGTAGTAAAGTAGTTCTGTAAAAATTATTTTCTGTAGTATATTAATTACTTGTAAAAATAAACTATTTATTACAATGCTAGAATATTAAATGTTTCAAGAAGTTAAAACTGTCAAATATAAGCTACAAAGGAGAATATGTAATGAATAGATCAAGGTTTTTATAGCTTAGTGGCTAAGGTGCATCAACACAGGCAACAACAAAATATAAATATTTGCAAGGTCTTTAAAATCAGCAGCAATATTAACTGTATTATAAAAGCTAACAAAATTTATAGACTATACTGAAAAATTAGAGAGACATACTTACTGGTTCTAAACAAATTTTTAGCACTCTTCTTCTCAGCAGACTCTTCAATACAATTGTTCGTTTCGTTTTTATTGTCCTCTTCTTTCAACTTGAGAATTTCCAATTTGGGTAATATGGAAGTTAGAAAAGGCACTCGTTTTGGAACATAAGCCAAAGTTTTGACATTCATTGGAATGTCATACATAAAAATATATACTAACAAACTGAAAAATAAAAAAGAAGTTTTTTTCATTTAGAAAAAATTTGTAAGTTAATTTCACAAGATAAAAAAAATCTCAATACACTATTGCATTTCATATACCAATAAAATTATAAAGACAGAAAATGCACATTACTCTGCTTTGCTTTACCTTTAAATTCATAAGTTTACACAATTTGAATAAACTAGGAATCATTACATGTATCTTAAGGCAACGCAATCTAAATTTCAAAATTTTAAATTTGAATTTTATGTATTCTCTCTAAAAACCTTTTTTTTTTTTTTTTTTCTTTTTAAATACATGAGATTTACCACTTAGGAGATTTGTCCATATATAATATGGGCATCTGTTTTTCCAAGCTTGCATTTTTTATAAACATATTTGTTTATTCTAGCTTGCTTTTTGACTCACAGATGTTGTTAATCAATTACAGAATGAACTTCTTTGTGATTTTTTAAGAAATTTTCCAAATACTTTTATTTATTTGTTATTGAATGCAAATACAGACTTGAGTTCTATTAACGTTCATAAATTTAATTCTGAACATTAGAAATAGATGATTCACACAGTCACTGTGAGATTTGACTTCAGTGTGCATGAAAATTCACTTAAAATAGAAAGCTCTAAGATTTTTACATACTTTCTCATTAGCAAATTAGATGAGATGATAATTTACAGAAGACTTGCATTTTTGGCAAAAGTTATGTAAAATAAAAGTATTTCACAAAGGTTTCCATTTCTTGGAACTCCATCCATGCACATGAATGCTGATATTGTGAGAATTCTTGAAGCATTTTTAATGACAAAATTAGAAATACTGTAGTGTAAGAAACTAATTGTGATACTGAACAATCACATTAATAAAATGGCTTGCACATGTTTTTATGAAGAAAATATTACAGGGCCTCAACACGAAATAAAATTGCTTATTTTGCACACTGGCCGTGCTTTAAGACATTGAAAAAAATTTGAGTTTTATTGTTAAGAAGAAAATAATTATGAAGAGTTTTACTGCAGAGAAATATTAGTCATTTACTGAAAGTATCTGCTTAGGCATTTTTATAGAATCAAAGTAAAAACAGTACATTTTTTTACTGAATTAAAATGTCTGTAATGGAAAAAAAAGTTATATGTTAAAATGATGTAGAAAATTGTTTGTATACAGAATTTGAATTTATGTTCTTTTTTTGTAGGCATCGTTTGAAAATAGAAGACTGAGTTATAAGTCGCTCTACTTTTGAAAAACATAATAGTCCTCCTTAATAATGAAAGGTTTAGTAAAATGTTTTGAAATATTTAGTTCTGCTCATTCCTTATGTACCAGTAAATCTGCATATGCATACCTCTTCACAGGAGTTGAAATATTTTTAGTGGTTTAATACCATGAAAGTAATTTTTAATATTAAAATAATGCTGTATATTAAAATTTTCTCTTTAAGAGATTAATACAAAAGAGGGGTTTTTTTTTTAACCATAAGATTAAAAAAGTGTGATTAAATGATTGTCACAGTTTTATACACAAAAACTTCGATGGTTCTAGTCTTCAATCCAGTGGCCTTCTAAGCTATGAGCTCTACTGGCTTAACACAATCTCATTATGTCAATTATAAGTTAAATGAAGGATTCTCTTTAGCCTCACAGCTTAAATAGTTTTTCCCTGACTGCCAAGAAATCTCTAGTACTTTTGGAATATACTGGAAGGCATATGGAGACCAGATATGGTTACAGCTACATACAGCATCAATTACAATGCCCATTACAGTTACACAGAGACTGGACCAAAGACTTTTGGCCTCAAAAATTAATTGCCAAAACTGTCATCAAGTAAACAAGACAGCCATTTACTCATCAGTCTTAAGTAAACTTGCTCTTGTATTTTTAAGGCAAGCTTCGCTTCTTTAAACTTTCATGTTAAATTATATTTAAAAAAAAATACAATTATACATACAATTTCCCTAAAATTTACATATGTATGAAATTCGTAACAATATATTACCTTCCCATTTTCTCTCTCACATTCTGGTATGAGTGATCTAACTTAGGTTCAATATAAGCTAAAGCCCTATGCAATAATTCACAAACTCTCCATTCTTGTTGAGCTATGAGTCCAATAAGAATGTACAGCCAACTGAAACAAAAACAGGAATTTAGAATTTAAAACAATTCATAATAAAAAAATATAATAAAATGTCTGTGAATACACTTCACATTAGGGCACTTATATTTAGTGGATACCATCTCTGATAAAAGACAAATATTGGATCAATGCAGACAAATCCCTAAGTGACCAGACATTTTACCCCCAGTAAGACAGTACCCACATTCCAATATATTGCCCATTTCAAGATATCTCAAAAATATGTTCCAGATTTAGTACATATAGTTGACAAATTCTCTGTTGACACTCCATACGTTTGTGAAGTTGTTTTAATTGAATCATAAGCTTATTCAATAATCAAATAATTGCACATCCTACATGCAAATTTTAGAACTTGTGAGATCCACAAAAGGACTGGTTTGCAAAAGAATGTCTATTCTAACTATGTTTCATAATTGGAGAATGGAAAGTAAAATAAATCTGAAGAATTCTTAAACTAGATCACCTTTTGAATATACTGCAGAACATAAACATGTAAGGGAACCTTTTGACTCCCAAAAAGGTAATATTTTGATAAAAGTATAAAAAATCCAGAAAATAAAATAATTGTTTGATTAAAAAACTGAAACAGAATGAAATTTTTTTCCGGCATTAGAAAAAATTGTGTTTCTTCCAAATGTACAACTAAGGTTACTAAGAACAATTGTAGCAAAAGAAAGCATAATTAAATAATGAGTACAATGACTCCTCCCATGGATCACCTCTTTAACTACACAGTATTTTGACAGCACATAGAAACAGTTGTAATGAAAATCACCAGCAGTCATATGCTCTAAGGTGACCTTCACAGAAGGTAGAAATCTTTGCAATTATAGGATGAGTTCATTGGTAATTCCTGAACAATTGAAAAACAAAGAAATCTTTCTTTGAAATAATAAAATTAAGTTTTAAATCCCCACCATTTAAAAGCTACCAAAATTAACTTATTTTGCATTAACTTTCAATATCTGATCACTTCAATGTACTCACATACAACACAACAAACATCATAGTCTTAAATAAAAAAAAACATGCACATGAGCAGTTTAGTTTACACATACATTTCAGAAAACTTTGTCATAAAAATTTCACTTTCACCGCACAGGAAGGTTTGCGAAACATAGGCATAAAATTTGTTAAATAAATTTTTCAAATTAATATCTATGTTTTTAATAAATTTATTTATGAACAAAATATTTTTTAAAATTTAATAACTATATTATTTTGGATTGAATGCTTTATTAAGGAAATTGTGGATAAATTGCTGTTTTCAAACTTTTCAGATTATCATTCAATTTTTACAATTCTTTAATTTTATTTAAAAATATTTTAAGCTTTTTATAAGCAGTTTGTTCCTTTTCATGCATTAATGGGCAACATATTGTGTTGCTTGACTTAGAAAAATTTTCTCGTATTCCTGTTGTGATGCTTCTTCATAGGTAAACCAAATTGCAAAGCTTTACAATGGTTTTGCAGATTTATTTCTTACCTTGATTCAATGAAAGATCCATTTTCTACACTTCTAGGTTCTCTCATTAGGAGCTCAAAAACCCAATAATATTTATTAGGATCTCTACTTTCCTAAAATAAATAAAAAATTAAAAAATTCTAAAAATGATGTTTAAAGAATTTCCTTCATATATAATCTAGTATCTGTTTGCAATCAGGGTTAAAATTAATGATCAAGTTAGTTATCAATTATCATTATGAGTACAGTGATATAAATTAAAATGAAAAAAGCATTGCTTAAGAGCTGCTTGGAAAATGTTTCTCTGTATAGGTTTTCTAAAAAGAATGTTTCATATTTACACACAAAGGGTAAAAAAAAAAAAAAAAAAAGAGAGAGAGAGAGGGGCAGCAGTACATTAAATCATTTCACTACTAATTGCATTTATATGAAATTACTCACTTCTGTGCACAAACATCTATCTGGCCACTAGTTACTTTAATTAAATATGTAAATATAGTAACTTAATTACTTTAATTAAATATGTAAATATAGGCAAAACAGGTTCCTCCCTTTTCAAAATGTTTATTCTGGGTATAACATATAGTCCAATTGCAATTAATTAAATACAGTCAAAAGTCGTTAATTCGGACACCCATAATCCGGACCTCAAAGCTACAAACTTTCTGCGCATGCGTCGTGTTCACGCATGCGCACAGGCGTTTACGAGAGCGCGTAAGACCCTTACGGCTGCGAATATGTTTGTGCGCATGCGCGTTTAAATTGTAACGGAGTTATACGCTAAGCTAAAGTTATCTAATTCAGTTAATGTTGCCGATTGCATTGTTCCTTAATCTTCGAATTGGATCCGGCTTATTATTTTTTGCAGACTGTCAGAGCAATTTTATAAAAGTAAGCTTGAATGTTCGATTATGTCAAATAGAATTTCCGATATATATTTACTACAAAGCGAAAGTATGTTTTGAAATCCGAAATCTGTTTATCAATTTCACGCTGCTCTGCAGCAGGGGGGGGGGCAGAAACGTCATTATTAGATTATGATAGATTAGAAAGATTATGTCAAATAGAATTTCCGATATATATTTACTAATATGTAATTTGTATCTACAAAGCAAAAGTATGTTTTGAGATCCGAAATCTGTTTATCAATTTCACACCCCGGATTGGGAGTTGATCTGTCAACACTATCCTTATCTTCAGGGCAGATGTTTTTATTTTATTTGGTTTATAATTCCATACTAAGTGTAGTATTTCATTCTGTCTTTGATATGATTTAAATCAAGTTCCTCGTCATTATAATTCGCTTCCGATAGTGAAGAAAGTGACCCAGAGGTTATTGAAAACGAAAACATTTCGATTGACAAATTAGTCCGTATTCTCAACACAGCAATTATAGGACTTGAACAGCGGAACTTTGTAACTAAACAAGAAATTATGTCTGTTTAATAGAATTAAAGAGAAAGTATTATCACATGAAACGAAGCAACTTACATTGAAGGAAATGTTAAATAAAGTAAACAAATAAATATTAAGCTTTTTTTTTTTTTTTTTTTTGGTAAATTTTGATACCCTTTAGATCATAATTGTTCTTTATTTCATAAATTACGGTTTCATATTTTTAATTTTGTAATTTCTGCATGCCATCTTACCAGATTTAAACTGATGATCTATAATCCGGAATCGCTGAAGTCCCGACGAGTCCGGATTAACGACTTTTGACTGTACTATTACTTACTGAAACAGATGCAAAACATGTTGCCCAATCATTCAGTGTTTCAGGTGTGATACTATTGATGGCATTTTCTAAAACTGGTGTTAAGCTTTCCTTTAAATTATGCATCTGGAAAAAAAGTAAAACTGATAATATTCATAAAGATAATCTTTCAAAAGCCAAATATTAAATGTTTTCAAAACATGATGAAATTATATAATACAGCATTTAGTAAAAGTAGGAATTATGTAATTCAGACAGTATGAAAGATTTTAAAAAAATTTCAAGCATGGTATGAAAATTATAATTTTCACATAAAATAAATTATTTACAAGAAGGAGAATGAGGAAAAATTTATTTTTTATATATCATAGTTATTTGCATATTTTGGATCTCACACTTTTCTCCTTAGTTTTTACACAATATTATTTACAAGTTTACTTTCAGTAAAATGACTTGTATAACCAAAAAAAAGTTTACACAAATAGAACAGTGCACAAGCAAAAAAGGTCATTATTAAAATTAATACATCTTTAAAATAGACTACATAATAGTACACTTATTCACATCCTTCTTAGATGTGATGTTTCTTTATTTTTGCCTTGGAAATGAAGGGCACCACATAATTTTCCTCTTTTAATTTTCAGGAGGTAAAATTGGTGAAAATAGGGAGAAAATACATCAGTAAATATGCTACATATAAAAAACAAAATAAAGAAAGCCAATGAGTTAAAGAAACAACCAAAAAGTTAACCTAAACTCAAGCAATGCATTACAAAATTGACAATTTACATAAAAACAACTAATTTACTAACCATCACCAATCTAAAGACAAATAACAATATAAATAAACTTTTAAAACACCAGAAAATATTTTAAATCTCATCAATTATGGGAAATAGTAAAATTTAGAAACTTTACATTAGAAACGTACATTTAGAAACTTTTAGTAATTTTTTTATCAAAAGAATTAAGGCAATGCCATTGAGTATTACTTCCTATCTGTGGTAACTGATATTGATGCCTCAGTACTAATATAACATTCAAAAAGTAATCTCACAAATCAAAGGCAAACATTGGATTGAATTTCAGCTCAATATAGATGCAGAATTAGATTTTTTTAATATCATTTCTTTCTTTCTTTATTTTTTTTAAGTACTTTTATTTGCAACACTAGTACCATAATACTGCCTTTCCTTCACAACTTCTTATCAATCTTCGGATTTCCCATGAAGCAAAATAAATTTTGAGTTATAGTACATATCCCCAATTCCATAAAATGCCTCAAAGTACAGTCAAAAGTCGTTAATCCGGACTCGTCGGGACTTCGGCGATTCTGGATTATAGATCATCAGTTTAAATGTGGTAAGATGGCATTCAGAAATTATAAAATTAAAAATATCAAACCGTAATTTATGAAATAAAGAACAATTATGATCTAAAGGGTATCAAAATTTGCAAAAAGAAAAAGCTTAATATTTATTTGTTTACTTTATTAAACATTTCTTTCAATGTAAGTTGTTTAAGTTGCTTCGTTTTTTATGTGATAATACATTCTCTTTAATTCCATAAACAGACATAATTTCTTGTTCAGTTACGAAGTTCCGCTGTTCAAGTCCTATAATTGCTGTGTCGAGAATACCGACTAATTTGTCAATCGAAATTTTTCGTTTTCAATAACCTCTGTCACTTTCTTCGCTATCGGAAGCGAATTATAATGACGAGGCATTTGATTTAAATCATATCAAAGATGGAGTACATCAAGAGGAAATACCACATTTAGTAAGCAATTATAAGCCAAATAAAATAAAAACATCTGCCCTTAAGATAAGGATAGTGTTGACAGATCAACTTCCAATTTATTGCGCTCCGCACGTTAAAGATAAACAAAGTTTAGATAAACTAATGTTAAAGTTTAGATAAAAAAAGGATATGCCTTTATCCATTTTTTGCAGCAATTCCACTTTTTGTTTAATTGACTTCGAAAGATACTTTGCTTTGTATATCCTTTACATATTAGTAAATATATATCGGAAATTCTATTTGAAATAATCGAAAGTTCAAGCTTACTTTTGTAAAATTGCTCTAACAGTCTGCAAAAAATAATAAGCCGGTTCCAATTCGAAGATTAAGGAACAACGCAATCTGCAACATTAACTGAAATAGATAATTTTAGCTTAGTTTATCCCGTCCGTTATACAATAAATGCGCATTCGTAAACGTAATTTGTGCACATGCAAATTCGCAGCTGTAAAGGTCCTGTGCGTCAATGCGACGCATGCGCAGAAAGTTTGTAGCTTTGAGGTCCGGATTATAGATCATTCCAGATTATGGGTGTCCGAATTAACGACTTTTGACTGTATAAACATTTCTCCAATAAGCATTTACTTTTTAAAATAATAATATTTGAATAAAATATATCTTTTCACGCAATTTCTAACATGCACAGTGTTGCCTGCTTTTGACAAACCTGTGCTATTCTAATTTATGTCTCTGATTTTGTGATTATTCCATCATTTCCTTACGTTGCTTATTTTTTTTTAAAAAAAAAATTCAAAATTTGTATACATTTATATATTACAATTAATTCATAATTAAAAATAATAATTTATTTAGGTATAAATAAAAGTTAGTAACTAGCAATCCTATGACTGTAACCCATGATTGAAAGTACACTCAATACCAGCATTAGTAAAAGTTATTTTCATGTGTTCCATAGATTACTTTGATATTCTGGTGACTTATTTTAAGTCAGATTATAACTACAATGTGATTATGATGTGAATTACGAGTAACATGAAACTACAATGTAAATTATGAGCAACATGAAAAATTGAGCACTATCTTTCAAAATGCTTTGATTAAAATACCCATGCTTGAAAATTGGCAAGAAAAAATGAAAGACAAGACAAAAGCTTACTGTAAGTTATGTAAATGCGAACTAAGGCCACATCCCTACATCATATTTTTTTAATGAAAAATTTATCAGTGTTCGTACACATTTTTGCACTTCGAAATAAGTACTTTTAAGAGCTTAATTCATAATCTGAGTTTTTTTTACAGTGCTGTAGGATGGTGCTTTATCGCTGTATAAAGAATTTAAGTTCACCGAAGCACTCTTGATAATCCATGTCGAAAGTTACGAAACATAATCGCACAAAAATGTTCATGAGTCAATTCCATTTTTTGAGCCGAGATGAATTTTTCAATTTACTGTAAACAACACAAACCAAGCTAAAATGGAAAAACATTCTGAAGAAGCTGTGGTTAAAAATATCAAACTTTTGATTAGAATCATCTGCGATCGCCTATCACCACTTACTGTTTGCCAAGGCCAGAAATATAAGTAGCAACCTTTGCATAAAGTTTACCTTACCAAATGATGCCCAGGGTTTACTTTCTAATGAAAACTTTGTTCCACGAACTACACATAAAACAAATAACTGATCACGAGAAATACAGGAAATTATTTTTCACAAATAAATTTGAGATTCAATTTCTAAATAGGTTTCTTACCCAGTTAACTAGAAATCCATAATGAATTCTCTAATGTTTCAAAATGTGCTTAATCTGGATACGTGATCCACACAGGGAAAATCTTAAGGTTAAAAACGCACAGGAATCAAGAATACTTGATTCTTAGTTCTCTTACTCTGAAGAGCGATTTCTAAAGAGCAAAATATCACAAACATAAAATGGCTAACCAAATCTTCATTAATGAACCCTACTCAACATGACTTGACAGTATGATAGAGTGCACCTTCTCCATCTTTATCCAGAGGCCCCTGTGAGCTTGAACAAACCTTGAAAGAGAATTCAATTCCTTAAATGAAGGTGACATCAAAGCTATTGCCATAGCAGTTAAAAGATCGACATTTGTAAAAAGAACAAAAGTGTAATTAATAGCTTATGATAACTAGACATTATGAATAGAAATGTCATACATCAATTTGCATATCTGCTTATATGGCACTTTTTGAATGCAAAGTACTAACTATCCATTTTCAGAGATTTTCGGAAATATCTGCTATATATATATATATCAGAGCCAATCTGATTGGTACAGTGATCTGATTGGTGATGCTGACTGCCATATCATTGAGCCTGGCCTCAAATCCTAGAGAACTGCTACTGAACTTAGATGTTTAACTGCTTTAGTGGTATGGGGGCACTTAAAATACTGAAGCCAAAAGTTCTCTTAAATAGGTTGGTGATAGGGAAAGAGGGGCAAGGAGACTCTTAGACCCAGCTTCTAGGATTTTTTCCATCGAAAATGAGGCACAGTTGCACCTGGGGACCCATCCATTTCTACCTGTACTTGTAAACAGAGATATACAAGTTGTTTTGGCAATTAAAACTTAAATTACATTTATGAGTATGTGCCACAGTATCCAATTTTTTTTAATATTTAGCAAGTCATTTTTCTACCACAATGCTTATAATTTCAAGCAAAAGCATTATGTAAATACATCTAATCTCAAAATAGTCATATAGAGTAAAAATAAAACCACTGAACAGACCCTATTTCAACTGATTTCATATTTGAGAAACAAAGTACACTTTCCATTAGTACTTTCCTTATTTCAGAGCCAAAAGCATGCGAGTTAGGATTTCTAAAAAGCATTAAATATTTTTTTAAAATAAACTGAAGCCTGTAAATAACCATCTACTTTCATACCTAATAGCTAACAGTACTTTTCTTCAGCTTATTAAGAAAAGTCTTATTAAAGCTTATTGTTAATACTTTAAAGTATGCAATATACACAAATACAGACATCTATCTGTAAAAAAGACATAATTTGTATATTTCTTACATTACTATAAACAATGAAAACCTGTTTACAGTAATACAGAATTATACAGATTACATATAACAAACAAACAAAAACTTACCTTATTAAAGTCCCAATGTTTGGAACCACTGAGTATACCAGAAATTATTTCAGATGCACAACGTTGTACACTTTCTTGTTTGTCAGCCACCATAGTTTGTATATGGCCAAGGAAATTAGATAAGAAAGTATCACCATAGTTACAAAATATTCCCTAAAACCAGAAATTATAAAAAAAGAGATTATAGCAATTCTTTATATTAGATCCGTCAAAAATATTTTACACTTCTGTCGAAATTCATTAGTGCATTCAAAACACAAATAAACCACAAAGAATAAATTAGCCTAGCCAACTAGATCAACTAGCCTTTATATTACTAGTTTAAAATATTTAATGACATATTTTAGCGCAATACAAATATAATTTAACAGAAGAACTTATTATTTTCCCTTCTGCAAAGATATAATAACAAGAAAATTCAAAATTTCTCATATATACAAAGGTTTAAATAGAAACACAAAGTTTATAGAAAGTGTTTCAAGAATTAAAAATATCCCCACTGGGAGGGAGGAGGAAGAGTTTACAGGAATAAGTTTTTTTTTTTTTTAAATTTGTATCCCCAAAACTTCTTATTTGCTTCCAAATATAATTTACCAACCAATTGGAGCAATCATCTCGTTTTGATAAAGTTCGACAACTATTTGAATATTATGATCGTTCTGTATATTGAAATGTTAGCCAAGTAGTATCTTCCTACAAGGTAAATCTAGCGAGGAGTGTAAATGAGAATGTCAAGATACTCTACTATTTCTCCCAATCTCCATCAAATGAGAAAGAGAGCTAGAGAATAAATTCCTAAGATAATATATTTTAATTTTAAAGCACATCATAAAATATTTGCATGTTCACCAGCAATCTTTTCTAAATAATAAGTTTAATTCCTCAAAGCAACAAATTCTATTTTTACTTTTCCTCATTTGTGCAGTTTCAGAGACCCTTGTGCTATGCTTCCTTCCCACATCAGGAATCACTTGATGGTCTTTACCATCAAATGATTCTAAATAATATCATAAGACTGCTCAAATTGTATAATTAAAAATAAATAAATGAAATCTGAAAGCTTTCAGATTTTATATTACATCCAAATGGCTGCATTTTTCACTTATAGAAACAAACACGTTTTGAGAAGATTTGGACTAATGCCACTTTGGGCTCAAAACATTTAAAAACAACTTATCTTTAGAATTTCTGATACACAATCTCATGCATATTTTATTCCCTACAGTACTGCCCCCGCTCGTTTTGAAATCGTATCATTTTTCACAATGCAAGAAACATACAGATATTCATGCAGATCCTTCATTATTTAATTTCTTTAAATATAATAGATGGGATAATATTTGGCAACAACAATATGAAAAGTGGTACAGCTGTTTATAGTCATTCAATGCAAAATGCTGTTTCGAGAATAGCCCTTCTGGGCTAAAGCCCCTTTCGGCTTTTAAAAACATAAAAAAACTAAAATTTTAAAAACATAAAACATAAAATAACTAAAAAAACTAAATTTTTAAATTTGAGGTAGCGAGTGAAATAGAATAAGTGCATCAGTATGAATAATAAATCATTGCCTCCAATAACATAATTCTGGAGAGCGTATCCCACTTTATATATTGGAAACAGCCCAAATAAGCTCTTTATTAGTATGGGCTGTTCTTAATTACTTGAATTCTATAAATTATGACTCAATTCCCAAATTATATTTTTTGTTACTTTGCATCACATTAAAGTTTCAAACTTTTTATATTTAAAAATATGGCCCTGTTAATAATGTAAAGGAGATGTGTATTCATTAACATAAGATGATAATTTTTAAAACTTCACAGTCTTATATTACAACTTAGAAGTACAAATGCAAGAAAAGAATCAAAAGAATATATATTATGCATACTTTGAAAAGGCAAAATTTCTTGCAATCAAATTTATCATGACCCTTTCTTTCTTCAAGTGAAAAATAGGAAACAACACTATCAACAAATTTTTGTTGGCAAAATGCATCATAAATTGGCTTTTCTTCCTAAAGATATAAATCATAGTACCATTAAAGCAACAAAAAATACATTAAAATTTTGTAATAATTCCATACATATAAAATAATTAAAATTTTAAAGCAGATTTAAAAAGTCCTGCATTATGTAACGAAAACAAATTGATGAATCTTTATAAATCTCCCTCCTAAAGACCAATACACCTTTCTACAAAATTGTCACCACTCATTGATTTCAGCATTTAAACCTATCAAAAACTTTAGTTAGACTGCTAAAAAATGAATTATATAGTTATGTTATTCTTTTTAACAGTTTACCACCATATTTTAATAATCCTCTTGCACTATACAGTATGTTATTTTCATTTCAGTTAACTAAACATTATAGCAGTAATGCTGAAAAATTGTGTCACTATATTATGATTTAGAAACCTTTTAAAAATATTAAAGTTTATCCTACGTATGTTTTAATTAATGATCAAATAAATGAGGTCCAGCACAAAAATGCATATATATATATATATATGGGGGGATTTTACACGATGAACAAATTAATTAACGAAAGACATTTTAATTACACAAACGATTATTACATAAATTTAAGAGAATTAAACAAGTAATGATTCGTCAAAGTTCTTTTTGAACAGAAGCAGCGTCTCTGCTCCCACGTCAATCGTCTATCATTTCAAAACGGTAATTCCCCTAATTTTGCTTGGCGCTTTCGCAGCTCGTAGTATGAATGAGAGAATGACGTCATGGCATCTGTTTCACGGTGTGGTTTTTGCACAGTTCCAAGCGATCGGCACTACATTTTCGGCCATCCGAGGGTGGACTGGCCCTCCAGGACACTGCAAAATACAAAAAAGCCCAAAGCAACAAGCAAGGATATACAGTATCAGAAATACGTGTTTGTGAAAAATTTTAAGGCGCCGTCCATTTCTTGAGAAATTCGGCACATGTGGTGGTGCATATGGGCCCCTCATGGCACCCTTCCTTTACTATGTCATAGGTGTTGCCACCCTCAACTTTCGTGATATAAGGTCCGAAATACTTCACTCTTAATTTTAAGTGTGGTCCGAATTGAGTCCTTTTGATTGCCACTAAGTCACCAACTTTGTACGGCTGTGCTTGTCTTCTTTTGGCATTATATGTCTTTTTATTTTCCTGTTGGACTTGGAAAATTTGCCTCTTGGCTTGCTTTCGTAATTCTTCTCTTTGAGACTCGAACTGAGATTGAAACTCACTTTCTATCAGTTCTTTGAGCTGATCAGTGCCCTTACTGTTCATTTTAGTACCGAAGAGTAATTCGAACGGAGTGGTGTTAATGCTTCTTTGATATGTTGAGTTCAGCGTTCTCCGAACTTCCTGTGTATGTTTATACGATTCGGTTGGTTTTTTTAAGAACAGTTTGCTAATACTGATATAATGACTTGGTTGATTCGTTCGACTCGTCCATTTGCTCTCGGCAAGACTGTGGTGATTAGATGATGTTTAATATCTTCTTTAGCACAGTAGTCAGAAAACTCACTGGATGTTAAAGCCGTTCCTCTATCAGAAATAATCTGACAAGGGCTTCTAAAAATGGCCTTTTGATTCTCTAACTTCGCTATCACCTTGGCTGAGGTTGTAGATTTTGTTGGATAAATCCAAGTAAATTTAGTAAAGGCGTCGACCACTACTAATATGTGCTCGTAGTTTTTATGGGTACTTTCCAGAGGACCCAAGGGATCTATATGATAGGTATGCAACAGAATGTCCTCCTTGAATTGCGGATGTTAAAATCCTTCCTTTTTCCCTGCTTTGCGATTTATTAAGATGCAATGAACGCAATTGGCGATAATGTTTTCTATCTTCTGCCGAAGTTTGGGAATGAAATAGTATTGATTCAGGTGTTTCTCTGTATGTTTGATACCGGTGTGCCTTTTCTCGTGAGCATCTTTTATGATTTCAGTCGGCATACTTTCCGGTACGACTATCAATCTTTACCGTCAATAAACTTGTATAGTACGTCATTTCTATTACAATAATTTTCATAACTTGAGGTTTTCAATAAATCCTTAATGGTTTTTATTTCAGTGTCATTTTCTTCGGCAAGTTTTAATTTAGGTAAGATATTTTCAACAGAAATACATAAGACGTTTACAGGAGCTCTACTTAGAGCATCTACATGTGGCATTCTAACACCTTTACGATGTTCTATAACATAATCAATTTCCTGTAACAACAAAGCCCAACGAGCAACATGCATCGCTAAATCTCTTTTTTCCATCGTCCGTTGAAAAGTTGAACAGTCCATCACTATCTTAAATGAAATTCCCAAAAGGTAACCACAGAACCTTTTCAGTGCTTCTACGATCGCGAGGATGTCCAACTCGTAACTTGAGTACTTTTTCTCTGCATCAGAGGTTTTCCTACTCATAAAATAAGTGGGGTGAAAACTGCTATCACCTGGGGGTTTCTGCATTAGAATCGCCCCATATCCTTCTATGCTGGCATCTGTGTGTAGTTTGGTTTCATAATGAGGGTTATAAATTGCAAGTAAAGGCTTCTCAGCTAGCGCTGATTTCAAACGATTGAATGCGATCTTTTGTTCTTCACCGAATTCGAACTTATTACCCTTTTTTAGCAGGTCGCTAAGTGGCTTGGCAATTCTAGAGTATTTATGAACAAATTTTCTGAAATATCCTGCCAGCCCAAGAAAACTTTGGATCTGTTTTAAATTAGATGGTTCGGGGAAATTTATAACAGCTTGCGTCTTCAAGGTGGATGGGAAAATTTTACCCTCTTCTATGACATGGCCTAAAAAGTCAATTCATTTCTTTAAGAATTGGGATTTTTTAAATTTATTTCCAACTTGTATTCACTCGCTAGATTTAAAACTTGACTCAGCCTCTCAATTCCCACTTCGTATGAGGCGGACAAAATGATGATATCGTCCATGTACAGCAAAACGATGCCATCGTTAACTAACGGTCGGAAAATGGTATTTATGAATCTCTGGAATACAGCTGGTGAGTTACAGAGTCCAAACGACACCTTCAAAAACTGGTACTGTCCTTCATGCGTAACAAATGATGTATATTTCTGACTTTCCTTTTCGACATCCACATGAAGAAAGCCATTTTTGAGATCAATAGTGCTGAAAACACGTGCTTCTTGAAGGCGGTCTAGGATATCCTCGATCAGGGGAAGAGGAAATCTATCCTTTACGACAACTTTGTTTATACGACGATAATCAACGCAGCCTCTTGTTGTCTCGTCTTTCTTTTTAACGATGACCAATGGGCTGGAATATTCCAAAGAACTCTGTTCTATAATTCCTGACTTTAGCCATTCGGATATTTGGGTTTCAACAATTTTCTTTTCCGCAAACGGTAATCTACGCGGTTGATGCGATACTGGTTAATGCAAATTTTTAACTGTATGTCCGTAGATTTGGTCTTACGTGGCATATAGTTCGAAACTAACTGTTGAACAGTCTCTTTAAAGTAGTTTGGAATACTAGGTGCAATGTTTATTTTGTCTTTGTTACTAGCTAGGCCAACAGGGAAAATAGATACAATATTTACTTCCTCTACACTCTGTGACTTAATTTTTATGGTAACCCCATTTTCGTTTATTAATATTTCACCTTTTAATATTATGCTTAAGCCTAAAATGGCTTCATGTGTCATCACATTGTTGTCTACAACACAAATATCTGCAGTACACTGGAAATTATTAATTTTAATATTACCTTTAAAGAAACCTAGAGGTTTTACTTGACATTTACCGAACCCACTCAGCGTTGAACTTACGAGCACGAGGCCTTCGATATTGAGTTTATCAAAAGTCGATCTACGTAACAAAGTAGTTTGACTTCCTGTGTCTATTAACGCGGTTATACATACATCATTAATTTTTACTTCTTTGGTCAACTTCGAGGCTACATCAATATTCACGGTTGATACTTCTGGTTTCGAATCCGTATTTGAGCATCAATTGACTCCCTTATCTTTATGAACACATTGTTTGGAAATATGACAGCTTTCACCGCAGTTGAAACAGGTTGTATTACGTTTAATTTCAGGAATTGTTCCTCAACTATTGGTTACGTTATGCTTTGTTTGGTTAACGGAATTTTTTGAGTCATATTTATGTCTAGATTCAAATTTTTTGTTTACTTTCAGATTTTGTTTTTGACGTTCGCGACTTTTCTTCATCATCACATACCTGTTAACAAAGCTTCAATTTGTTCTTAAAATCAGTTAATATTTGTGACCCACACAAGCAAGATTTTTTAAATGCGGAGCCTGGTATACCATCTATAACATATCGTATTAAAGCAACATCTTCAATTTGATCATTTTTAGCAATTCTTTTCATATTTAAAAAAACTCATCAAATGTTTCATTGCTTTGCATTTTTTGTTTTGATAATAACTCATGCAGTTCGGCCGAATTGCAGCTGGACCGGAATTCGTCAACAATTCTTAAAAATTTGCCATGAGTTCAACTTTGGTTCACTAAGAACAAATAGTTTTGCTTTGCCTGTCATCAGGCATTTAGCAAAAATCAATTTTGTAAAACATTTAATTGAAGAATGGTAGCTGCATTTTCAAAACTTTCGACCCAACTACTGACATTTTCGTGGCTTTGGCCATCAAATTGAGCAACAAAAGATTGGATGTCTTCAATAGTAACATTTATACTACAGTTATGAAATACATTCGACTTGTTTTCAATTGTATTCAGAATATTATCATTAGCACATTGGGAAGGAAGTTGTCTCACTGTGGCACCAGAATTGTTTCTTAGTTTCGTTTCATCTTGAACATTATCATCTAATTCATTTTTATCCCCAGCATCCACACCCTCTAAATAACTTTCGTTTTCACTTTCTTCTAAAATTACATTATTTTTAAGCAATTCTAAATTATTCAGATAATAAACAATTTGGCTTGCTAAGTCATCTTGTGTGCCAGAGCTATCAATGCATAAAACATTGGCAATGGAAATTAATTCATAAGCCTGAAAATCTTGTTTGATTTT